TACAATAAGAGTATGAGAAGAAAAGTAAGTTTTTTAACTTTTAAACTCTCTCAGAAATGATGGACCTCAGAGAGACAATGTGTCACACCCGTTACGTCACATCCGTGACGCAAACGGTAGGTCTGGGCCACCTTGTAGAAAAATGTAGTTTTGGCATGTTCTACATAAAAATGCGTCAAAATGTTGATTGATTTACTGCTTAGGATTGCCTACAATAAGAGTATGAGCAGGAAAGTAAGTTTTTTAACTTTTAAACTCTCTCAGAAATGATGGACCTCAGAGAGACAATCTGTCACACCCGTTACGTCACACCCGTTACGCAAACTTTCCCATTTTTCAAGAAAAGAAAAACAGATACTCGAAAACGGATCATTGGCAGTTGAAGCAAAAACCCTTGGCTTCATCGTATAATTTAATCAGATTTTTACATTCATAAAATTCGCTGAGTTTCCACTTTACACTCACTGAGGAAAAACTCACTTCCAAAATCGGTCACACCCGTTACGCATACCTTTTAATTTTTTCTGAGGAATGGAACAAAGTAAAAACAATTTCTGATAAACCGAAATGATCTATAAAAAAAGTTCTTTCTGCTACTGTAGATAATTTTTTAATTAAACCCCAAGAAAGAGTTCAAATTCTTGTTTAAAGTTAAATTGTTGTCACACCCGTTACAATGGAATGACCCTATAGTCCGTGTGCGTCCCTGTTATTGCCACTGACGTCACTAGCGCTTTGTAATTCTCTTTCATCGTTACGTTCCGAGAACTAAGGAGCACACCCCTTCTTTCCCGCCTGTCGCAGGTTCCGTTCAGCAGAGATACGTCCAAATAATGAAAGCCTTACAGGGTACATTACAAAATTTTGTACAGGATGTTATTTCCATGAACCCAGAAAAAAAATAAAATCTTAATTTAAAATTCCATACCAATCCACCCCTTGGTCAGTTTTCAGCGCCATTAATTTTATTGGTGATCGGGAACGAGAATATAAGAACGATCTAACTGAAGTAAAAAAAGTGCGAAAGGGTAGGTAAGGTACTTACATATGAAAATAATTTTATCGAGTGCATGGTACGGGAAAAGTATGATCGCCGGACTCGCAATCAGGCCAAAGACCAGAGCGTCGAGGCAGGGTCGCATGTATTTTGGTCGACTCTAGAAAACAAGCATCAGAAGTTATATAGAAATAGAATTGATTCGATGAATTCTGGAAACTAAAGGAAATCACTCAAGTATTTCCGTTTGGCACATTCGATCTCTGAATCAAATCTGATTTCTGGGTCAAATCTGACTTCTGATCATAGGAATCGGCCTGCGGTGGATGTAAGTCTTTCAACGAATGAAAATTTAAGGAGTTTTAATTTCGATGTCACCATCGATATTCACGTAGATACGCATGTAAGCCACCGCAAACAAAAGTTTGTTTTCCAAAAGAACAGCCCGAAAGTGTAAACCAGTGAAATGATGACGGTTTCAGGCATGAAACGACACATTTTTCTAGGCGGTTCCAGGGAGTAACTCATCTTGTTCCTCTTACACGGAGAAAAAAAACTCGTGCGTGGGACCCGAAGTTTATGTCATATGGATCTCTGAAGTTTTCAGATTGAGCATCTGAACACTTTAGGTCCAGCTGCCGAGGTTCGGATCATACATCTGAAACTTCAGTTCTTACATCTGAAGTACTTCAGATGTGAGAACCGAAGTACTTCAGATGTGAGAACCGAAGTACTTCGGATGTGAGAACCGAAATACTTCAGATGTAAGAACTGAAGTTTCTGATGTGTGATCCGAACCTCGGCAGCTAGACCTAAAGTGTTCAGATGCTCAATCTGAAAACTTCAGAGATCCAACAAAAAATTTGCTTAGAAAATTACAATAATGGGGGTTCAGCTCAATCAGCTGTGCTTTATTCGCTTTTCACAGAGGGTGTTGGAAGAATATATTTAAAGCTATAAAACTGGCAAGAGGTAGTCAAAGTTATTGTAAAAACATAATTAGTTACCATAAATACTCCCACTAGCATCCTGATATGAATAATCACACTCAACACTGACGCCAAGAACGAGAGAGCCAATACAATAGATGATTCATCTGGAAATAAAACAAACCTAAGAAATTACTTGTGTGTTAAAGATTTAGAGAGCATTAATTGAGTTGCACTCAAAAACAATAAAAGATAAACTGGACTATATTATGCAATTAGGAACTACAGTTTTTGGCTCATCCGTAGAAGCACGTAAGTGCATAGGGGAACTAATAGTACTACGTTGTTTTTAAACTGAGCCAGTAATTGTAGTTCTAAATTGCAAAATGAAGTCCAACTGGACTGCATTTTGCAATTTGGAACTATAAATTCCGGCCCGGTTTAAAAACAACATAGGTGCCATTAGTTTTCCCATGCTCAAAAGTGCTTTAAGCGCGGTATGCATTACACCGTGCTTCATGGTCCGGTTGCCTAACTCCGCGGCTGATAAATGATTCATCCTGCATTGCATCCTTGGTCATTTTTAAAGCCTCCCCGTGGCGGAAACGTAGTTGTATTTTCTCATCGTGATAATTAAACGTGGAGACCGTTTAGAGTGCTGGTAAAAATTCTTTAATTAATGCCGAGAACGAAGGAATCTATTGCGACCCTTCATCCTGCTAAAGCTCTCTAATATTTACGTAGCTAACAATTTGCTTGGAGCAGATCGCTGTTTGAAATTTTCTTATCGGTTACACGTGCAAGCTCGTAGCTTCGGTATTTCTGTTGAAACTTCTATGGAGTCAACCGACGTACCGAAGCATTTTGTGTTGTTTTTTAATTTTTTATCAGATTAAATGACAAATGGTCCATTCAAAGTGCACCTGTGCAAAAAACTTTAAAACCATAAAGTGAAAAACGCTGCGCGACTTTGAATGATCACGCTACACACTGCGGTCGGCGCCAAACGCATGTTAGCGCCTGCAAGACTGCATGAATACTTCACGCATTGCGCGCACTCCACGGCCTCCACGGTGCGCGCTATTAGTGGCTGCATGACCACATGGATACTTCACGCATTCTGCCGTGCCAAGGGAAAACGCCTTACGAACACTCGAGAGTTGCCAAATTTCCATCGATAAATCGTTAATTTTTTAGGAAAGTTATGCACATTTTTCGTTGAAATTTTCAGGAGCTTTTGGTGAAGTTGTGAACAAAATTATCTAAAAAATTAGGAGGAGGGTGATTTCACGATAATAGGCATAGTCGTGTCGCCGTGGGTTCTGAACGACATAGGGCAAAACGATTGAAAACCAAATTAATTAATCAATAGGAATGATGTCCCTGAACCTATCCATGCTAAAAAATATGATGAATTATTATTATATTTAATAATATGATACTTTAAAGGCCGAAAATGTCCGGTCGGTTACGCGTCGCCAACCCCGATTTTGAAGCAAAAGAGCAATTTGCGGTAACATATCAGTACTGATCATGAACTCTTTGGCAATATTTGAGTTTGAACTGAAATGTTTATTATTGAGCGAGAAAAGTCATAAGAAAGAGATGTCGCCACATTTGGCAACAAATTTTTGCAGTTGTATTAAGTGCAGTGTTTATCTCGCCAGATGTCAGTTTTTTTTACAATGAAAACTTAAATTATTATGAAAACCAGTGATTTTTACGTGTGTAGCACTAATTCCTCACTACGCAAAAACCTCAATTTAATAGTATTAAACTTAAACGAAGTCTCCAAAGTCTAGAAAACTTTTAAGGCAGCATTAATTCCACCTCATAACTCAAGAATTGCCAAGTTTCATCTTTTGTATCATCTTTAATCTCACATTTTTGAGTGTCGGTTACGCTGTGTCTGTTACGTAACCGACACAATTTGGCAGGGCCGCCATGTTTGCGTGGACCTCCAGCAGTCCCGAGGGAAGCGCTGATACCTGATTCAATGGCTTGTTTATCAATCAATTTACTTTGCACTGAATCAAAATAGAGCGTGCCAAAGCTGGAAAAAGGAAGTTTAATACCTTTAGAATGAGGTAATGAAATCCTGTTAAAATTGGTGCACTTTTATTTCTCAGGTATTTCATATTTTAACTATTCCTGTTATCGTGAAATCACCCAGGAAAACATTCATGAGTTTACCAGGAGATTCGTGTTTTATCAAAGGAAATTTGGCAACGCCTGGAGGTTCATACGGCGTTTTTGCTTCGCTCGGCAAAATAGTACACGAATTCGGCAAGACACTCTTCTCATGGCCCTATGTCTCACAAGAGTAACCAACGATTGAGTCAATTTAAATAAGAAATGGTGTTGAGCGCGACCAAGTCCTTTGAGTTGATCTGACAGAAAAAAATTGACACAAAGTAACTCCACACAAGGGCATTTTTCACTGTGTGGGTGTTAAGAAAATATACCAATGAATTTAATACAATAGATCCACAGCTTGCAGCTTGCGGCGGTTTGATGGGAATATTACTGTGGAAGTAAAATTGAAAAGAGAGAAAGACGGATGGTGTTTAACTTACCATGTATTGGTCTTACTCCTGGTATTCCTCTTCTTTCATCGCATAGCTTCCATTCAATGCCTATACCGAAGAGAAGCACGGCAGCGAGACTGAAGAACTTGAAGGACGAACATTAAACAGATGAGAAAAAAAAGGTTGAGAAGATGCTGGAAAAACAGTAACTTGGATCCAGAGTCCAAAATCTTAAAAACATTGACAAGAAAAAGTACCTACTCTATTTGATTCAATCGGACTTTTAGCTTGAAGAAAGAAAAATTCGCCTAAATCAAGAGGCTCGGCTTTTCGATTCACGTAAAAATCGGATTGAATCAAGAGTATTTTTCCTTTGTCAATATTATTAGGAGTGCGGACTCTAGATCGAAGCGACTTTTTTTTCCAGTGTAGAGAAATTGTTATCATTTTTCTCTTTTCCTCATATCCCGGCCACCACCATGTAGAACTCAGGTTTTCATCGTTTTCTAAAATTTTTATTGTGTTTCCGACTGAAAATCACTCAGTCTTGTGTCGAAACGTCTCGGTTTTTGTTAATTGTGTATTCTAGCTTTGTTTCCCGTTTTCCTCCCTTGTTTTTCCACTGTTATCATTCTCTCGGGCTGCTCTTCAAATGTTTTATCTCTGTAGAGAATAAATCGAGGCGGTAACGAGTCATCATGACTGAATCAGTATTTGCCTATTGTCCACTTATGAGATGTTTAAAAAAATTGACGATATTTCTATTGATAACTTTCACTTTGTGATTCTATTCTTGAGCCACAATATGAACAATTTACAGATGGTTTCAAGGCATTATGTAACTTATAAATTATTTTCCTGCGAAAAAAGTGAGACATAAAATTTTAGAGACAATTTATTCAACAAGTGGTGACCAAGAAAAATCGTGCTCATAAACGCGAGATGTTTGAAAATGCTTGACATAGACTATACGCGCAAATGCGCATTTTAAAGTTATCTGGTATGCGTAAAGTGATGCCACCGAGATAAGAAGGTAAGCGCTACAAACATAAATTTTCTGAGCGAAAGTATCCATCTTAGAACACTGTTGTTGATTCAAAAATTTCCAAATTTTACTGATAAGTGAAGAGTTTGCACTCATTGTGGTCATAAATTGGACTTCATCTAGCATGTGGCAGTGCTCCCGTTCCCCGTCCGTCAAAAGTTCCGGGTTCCAGAACTTTTTTGTTCCGATTTCTCCCACACCATAACATTAACAGTCAAAACTTGCGAGATTCCTTTCAGATTTCCTCAAAAGTTACGAGAAAGTTCCAAAAAATGCAGGAGATCCGGATAATTTCGGGAATTTTAAAAGTTCCGGGAAAAATTCAGGAACATCTCAAAAGTTCCGGAATTCAGGACTGTTTCCGCGAAATAGAAGCACTGGCATGTGGGGAACACGCAACTTTGGGGATAGCTCTCTACGGTCTACGCTGCACTGGAAAAAAATTCTCGGCGTTTTTACCACGGTCCGTTGGTACCTTTACCATCTCACTTTTTTTACCAATTATTGGTAATTTTACCAAGACAGACTGGTAAGCTTACCTAAAACCCGGTATTTTTACTGTTTTATCAGGTAAGAATACCACTTTTATTGGTAATCAATTCCCGGTAACTTTGCCATTCTATCTCGGTAATTCTACCACAGTCGATAAAAAATATTGGCGTTTTTACCGGGGTCCAGTAAAATTACCGAGAAAGTTCAATAATTTTACCCAGATTTCTCGGTAAAATTACCAATTTCATAAATGGTATAATTTTACCAAGAAAAAACTGAGATCAAATAGAATCCTCAATTCTTGGTAATTTTACCATTTTCTTAGTAAATACACCGATATTTTTTTTTCAGTGTGAAGAAATGCACTCAGTCATAGCGCGATACCGCAATGCGTAGACTGAGGTATTTCTGGTAGAGGCGAACGGAATAAGGGTTATGTGAAGATGGTGAATAGAGCGAGTGGTGTAAAAGACTAACTACAATTTTTTTTAGAAGATAAAAAAAAGGTATAAAAACCCGGTAAAAGGGTGTACGAGGCAATCGCAATGCTGCTAAGATTCCGCAATTTTTTATAGCGTTTGCGGCGGATGAAGTTCATTCACAGTCGAATTACTTCTTAATAAGTAGTGAAGAGGAACTCAGAGCAGATTCAGGGAAAAATTCTTATCAAAACTGTCAGATAAGTCACATACGATCGGAGAGCTATATTGCATAATCTTGGCAGCATTGGAAGTATCATACGTCTTTTTACCGAAAAATGCCTCAATTGTTCATTCACATTCTTCCAAGGGAAATGATTCATGTTGCAGTGATTAGTAGCTTCGAACACTACTCATTTGATGCCCCTCGTCAATAAGTGTGATTATGACATTAATGGGTTCAAACTCCCTATATTAAGTATACTTTATACCTAAGTGTCGCATTTAATGTGATTCGATGGACGCCATATTTTGTGTCAGAACGGCATGCGATATATCGCATCAAATGTTTCCATTTTTTCAGCTGCTCGTCATTTTTCTCCAATTTTGAGATCGCAATTCTGTTGTCAGGAGACTAAAGCACGCACTTACCAATTTTAACAAATAAATTCAAAGTCATAAATGCGTGGTTTTTTTAGAGAGAAAATATCGCATTCGAGTGCAGTTTCGATATCAGTATCGAATGCGATATTTTGCCTCTAATTAAACCACGCCTTTATTACGTTGAATTCCCTTGTTAAAATTGGCGAGTGAGTGCTTTAGTCTCCTGACAACAGAATTGCGATCTCAAAATTGGAGACAAATGATGAGTAGCTGAAAAAATGGAACCAATGGGCCTGTTGCAAACTTTTGCTAGAGCAAAAATAAGAGTTGTTTCTTATAGATAATGCCTCAAAAATCACGATGAGCGCATCGGCAAACTCTGAAATGCACTCATAACTTCACAATCTGCGTAAGAAATTTGCGGTTTTTTGAGCTTCCCGCTTCAAAAACGATACTACGGCACAGGTGAACATTTTGTTAGAAGAGTCGTTCCATCGTCGGCAATACTCATCATGGCCGACGACAATCCGCAAAAACACGTGTGATGGGACGAGATAACACCTGAACAGGATTAGACTAGATAACAATCGGCGTGTTTACGTTCATATTTTCCTCACCCGCCTTGATTGACCTTGAACTCTCCTCAAAATACGCGCGGAACTGCGCAAGCGTCGGCCATGATGAATATTGCCGACGATGGAGCGACTCTTGTAACAAAATGTTCACCTGTGCCGTAGTATCGTTTTTGAAGCGGGAAGCTCAAAAAAACGCAAATTTCTTACGCAGATTGTGAAGTTATGAGTGCATTTCAGACTTTGCCGATGCGCACATCGTGATTTTTGAGGCATTATATATAGGAAACAACTCTTATTTTTGCTTTAGCAAAAGTTTGCAACAGGCTCATTATGCCGTTCTGACACAAAATATGGCGTCCATTGAATCTCTTTAAACTTATTCCTATCGAACTGAACTGTGTGCGGGTGGGAAAGATGAGGTGTGCTCGTGGTGAGTCGGATAAGAATCAATGTATGAGTGAGCTTGATTCCTTTTGAAGAATTGGATAAGTGGGATTTTAAATTCAGTAAAAGGAGCTGTGTGCCAACCGCATGCGGAACTCAGCCAATCTATGCGATATATCGCACGTCGTTCTAACACAAAATATGACGTCCATCGAATCACCTTAATCGGACAAAAACGTGACATTTTCAATTCGATACAATAAATCCTGAAATGTTGAAAAATTGTGGATTTCTTGGGGACAGCAGACTCACTTTACAGAGCATGTGAATAAATGATATGTTTTGTATATTTAGTTGCAACTTACTGTATATATCATTCCGATTATTATTGTGCCCGCTCGCAAGGATATCCCAACGTAATTCAACCGAGGGAGTCGGGAATGAAGGAGATCGAAGAGAACATTCGGCCCACACATAATGAAGCAGTTCCTGAATTGAAACACATAAACGTGAGACTTTATAGAGTTTTATGATTTATCACAATGAGAGTCTAAACTCCTGTTGCGCTTTTTTTTTCACTATTTCCAATTCTTGATCTCAGCTAGAAATCCAACCAGGTCCTCTAGGGGCCCGCGCAGTTTAAAAGACGGATTCAGAAAGACCCTAAGACTGGAATGGACCACTAGACAAGGTACGAATTTAAGCAATCTGATACATGTTTCTTAACCAGGCTTTCACGTAGAACACGATTTGCGCAATGAATATTACTGAAACCAACTCCTAAAGAAAATATTAACGTTTTTATTTCACATTGGTTACGAGGAATTTGAACTGCCCGCTCACAAGAAACTTTAAGCTCTACGTGAGTCAAATCGCGCACTACAACGGTTGCAGCAAGCTCCTCAATCGCGTAATGTTCATTTCCCATCATGTGTTGTTCAAACGCTAAGCAATTTGCTTTAGCTGAGCCAAATCGTCAAGATTGAGGTTGCCAGATTTTCATATCGCAGAGACTGGCATGATAACGTTTAGTGCACGATGTGAATCACGTAGCATTGAATTTTCATGAGCGGGTGGTTTGAATTCACGCATCAAGAATCATTAAATAATTTCGTAAGGAGTTGATACATTGGTAATTTTGGTTGTGTGCGCATCGTGTTTTACGAGAAGTTTTGGTTAAGAAACATGTATCAGAATGCTGAAATCCATACCTTGTCTAGTGGTCCATTATGGATGTCATGGGAACCTTAAATTTTTTGATATTGGCTCTCAGTGAATGTTGGAATCTACCTCAACTGAAATTTCGGTTATATGAAATCTTCGTTTTGCGGACCTTAAATAAGACGATTCCCATGGACCCTTTGACTATACTATTAGTATAGTGAATCCCTGAATACCAATGTTTCGGTGGGACCCCGAGAGAATGTTTCTTAAGGGCCCTCAAGGTTTAAGTTATTGAATTGAAGAAGCCCTGTGAGACAGGATTTCGGGGGTCATGGGCATTGGCGAATACGGCGAATTGGCAACATTGTCTTTTCTCAATTTAAACCTATGGAAATGTATCGATTGCTAGGTGCTCCGACAAGAATCGATTATTTTGCATAGGTTTAAATTGAAGAAAATCGGTGTTGCCGAATTGCTGGATCCGCCTCTGGTCATGGGCCCTCCGAAATCCCGCAACCAAGATTTCAACTGATTCATCAACTACGAGAGTTTTCTCTAAATGGAAAATAATTCAAAATCGACCTCAAGCCTCCAACGTTGAAAGATCTTATGGAAGTTCAACTTCTTCTGTTACTCGAGAGGGACTGCTGCCATGGGCGGAGATGGCGGGAGGGTGGGGGCCTGGCTCTCTCTAGAAATCTACTCGACCTCTCCAAAGAAATGTGAGGGATTTAGCTAAATAAGCGAATGATATATCTTTCATATTGAGATCTGTATCAATTTTTCGGGATAATGTGTAGGCTAAAATTACTCCCGACACGACTCGATTTGTCAAAATGTTTCGGGGGAAGTCCCCTGAATCCCCCCTTTAGGCTAGGAGAATTCCCCAGACTCTCCTTTGAGTTAGGGTCCCTTTATACCCAGAGTTAAGACATCTCGATTATCAGCTGGCTAGCAGCCGGCCTGGGCTGGCCATGGAGGCACAAAAGAGTGCACTCAAACAAACGATATTGAGGGATAAGGATAAGGAATTATGCGATGTCTGTCATCCAAAAACAACATCATCAACAAAACTGATTAAAACCTAACCAAAGAAATTGCGATAAAATAAAATTAGATTGATTTGTGAATAATCCCTTAATCTATTTTCATTTTGGTGCGATGAAAATAACAATTCACTCTAGATAAACCACAATTTAGTTATATTTTCATTACTTTTGTTCACATTCGAGGTACCATCGCCGTCTTGGTGCACTCATTTGTGACTCCATGAGCGAGTGCCAATCAGAATTGGATTTTTTTTTTTAGGCCCTTTTCAGCCCAACCCAGGCCCAAAGTGAGATGTCATAACTCTGGGTATAAAGGGACTCTACTTTGAGTTAGAGGGATCCCGCAGACGTCGACAAACTCCTTACTTGAGTGTTTTTTGTGCCGCCAGATCCCCCTTGATGAGGTACCCTTCTGACACCCCTTGAAAATTCCCTCCTAATTTGAGTGTTATATTTTAATATTTTAACTGCCCTTGACTATAAGATAGCGGGGGCTGAGACCGAGGGAGGGGGGAGGTCGTAGTCTTAAATGGATTGCATTTGGCAAAAAGGAACCACTAGCATTGCAATGTTGCTAAGATTATGCAACTTCTTTTGTCTTGGAGGAAAACCCCGATTATCCCTCAATAGTTTCTATTTTACTCGCCAAAAACTGTAAAATTAAGACAAAAATTACCATCTAAATTTCATAGTTTTTTCACAATTTCCGCAATTTTATTGCAAAGGATGAAGTTGCACAATTTTAGCATCATTGCAATGCTACTGGTTCCTTTTTGCAAAATGCAATCCAAATAAGCTTTTCGTTTTTTGCAAACGTGAACTACCTTCAAATTTAGAGAGTATGCAATCCAAAAATGTGGGGAGCTCTTCGTACCCGTCAGCGTCCCTGGACCCTGAACGCTAATCCGGCTCTGATATACCGTCACCTTCCGGCCAAAGTATCACGAGCGCCATGCGACGTTTCAAAATTTCCGCCACCACTTCATTTCCTTACAGAGAAATTGTTGATTGAATCTGTTTGAAAATTTCACTGAATTTTATCGGTAGCACAGAGAAAAGTCAGGGAAATTTTCGGACGGCTTCGTTGAACAATTTCTCTGTAAGAAAATAAAATGGCGGTGGAAATTTTTAAACATAGCATGGCGCTTGTGATACCTCGGCAGGAAGGTGACGATATATCGACCCCTCCTCCGGCACGGGTAACTTTACGTTGAATTATTAAGATGTAAATAAAAACATGGTATTCAGTGGCGTGGCGTGAATTGCGATATATCGATTGTTATGCCATTTAAACCTATGGTAAAGAATCGATTATTAAGGTGTTCGCTGCGACCACCCTATTTATCGATCCTTTTCTATAGGTTTAAATGGTATAACAATCGATATATCGTAATTCACGCCACGCCACGGAAGGTATTAAAATTAAAAAAACGAGAGGCGGAGGGATGATGCAAATAATACTGTTTGTGCTGAAAGTTTGGTCAAAACTAGTTCATTTGTGGATTTTTTTGTTCTCAATTGGACCGCGTTTAACAGAGAGGAACTAAGCCACATCAGCTATTGCCAATTTTAATCGGGCAATTTAATTTTTTACGAGGAGACGTTTGGGCGGATCCTTTTGAAAATTTTAAGGGATTTTCTTCGAACTGTGGAGAAAAGTCACTGAAATTTGCACGAAAATCCGCACAACTATTTTCATGTAAAGAAATTAAATCAGCCAATTAAATTTGGCAATGGCTGATGTGGCTTGCGCGGTCAAATTAAGGTGCAAAGCACTCGCACGAGTTTTGTGGCAAAGAGGAAAAGGGTGCACACCCTGTATTAATTTTAAGTTTGAAAATTGGTTCTACGAACAGTTAAACATCAAACTCACCAAATTGTTGAAGGGGTCGGTGGGATCAAGATCTAACTTCTAAACTGGCTTACCCTTAATAATACGATTTGTGCTGAAAGTTTGGTCAAAACTGGTTAATTCGTGAATTTTTTTGTTCTCAATTAAGGTGCAAAGCACTCGCACGAGTTTGGTGGCAAAAAGGGAAAGGGTGCACACCCTGTATTAATTATAAGTTCGAAAATTGATTCTACGAACAGTTAAACATCAAACTCACCAACTTGTTGAAAGGTTCGACAAGATCAGGATCGAACTTCTGAACTAACTTCACTGCCCTTGATTTCAAACACAACACTGCGGTCGAGCTGCGATTTTCAGACCACACAACGAAGGACGATCACTTGGTGACTGAATCAGCGGCTAGAACGTGCTCCAGCGGCCAGATCGCAGACCGGGCCCCACGAATTGCTGAGAGGGGACAGAAACATAAAACCGAAACTTGGATCTGAGTCATCGGTAATAATTCATCTCAAGATAGGCAAAAATACCAGATGATGCGATATCGTGAAAGAAATCGTCAGTTTTGGACCCTATCCCTCGACATGTATGCTTTTCTGATCAGCTTTTTACCCTGAGAGCCGAACTCACGGCAGTTCCTTCAATAGTTCCTTCCCCTGAGAGGTTCTTAATGTATGACATATGTCGCAGGCAAATAGCAAAATCAGGCATTTTGTCAAATGCCTAGGCAAATAGTCAAATATTCTAACTTAGATTAAAATTCTGATTCTTTTCCTAATTTCAGACAAAATAATTCATTGCTCCTGCAAGAAAAAATTCTCAGTAAAAATTTGCACACATAATAGTATTTTAAACAATTTTTAGCTCCTGAAGAGACATTTTCAGCACTTCGTAAAATACAGAATTTTTTAATTTTCAACATTTGAAAATATAAGAGGCAATTGGAGAGGAAAAGACCAAAAGAGTTCGTGGGATTGATGAGTTATTTTTCCAAAAATAGTGAAAAATCGTGAGCTCTTCGCCATAAATTCATAAAATTTTGTCACCAATCAGCCTAGGCATTTGACAAAATGCCTGATTTCACTATTTGCCTGCGACATATGCATTGGGATTGAAGGAACTTGAAGCAGATCCTTGACTTGGTATAATAAAAAGGAGAATTTAAACGAATCTTGAGTAAGATCCAATCGTATGACTTTGCAAATAGACCCTTGCTGTACTTGCAATGATTCACTTCTAGAAAAGTGAAAAATACATTTTTGCAGGTTTTAAAATTTTAAGGTAAGTTTGTCCCTTTTGTAAAGGTTCTCAAAGTCATAGACATTTTTCTCCTGTGACAATGAGAAAAGTGGTTTTGAAGTTTCATCATCGATTTGTAGCGCTTGAACCGAGGTTCGCGGTTCCACCATTTGCGGATTCAGCAATTTGGCAACACCGAAATTCCTCCATTGAAACCTATGGAAATGTATCTATTTCTTGGAGGGGTCAGGTGTTCCGATAAGAATCGATTATTTTGCATAGGTCCAAGTGGAAGACAAATTGCTGAATCCGTCTCTGTAATAGGATTTAACTGGAAAGGATCTGGGAAAGGCGAATGACTTTATATGAATAACGTCGTAGAATCTCAATCTTCAAAACTCAGAGGCTATCATTCGACGAAATAGTATTTAAGTGAAGATAATTCTAGGATTCGCGTCGAGGTATGAACATTTTTTCGACACAACCCCCTCCTCCTGCAGCTAATTTGTATGAAAGGGGCTTTATTTTTATAATTTTCTGCCTTGTTAAGAACGCCGAATGACCTTTTAGACATCGCCAAACCTTTGATAAAATCCGAATTTTCCGGGAGCCTTGTGAATATTTGTTCTGAAACTGTCAAAGAATTGGATTGCATTTTTCTAAAAGGAACCAGGAGCATTCCGATGTCGCTAATATTGTACAACTTTGTTTGCCTTGCAAATATGCACAGATTGTCTAAACTAATTTTATCTTTACACCAAATAAACTATAACATAAAGACGAAAATTACCATTGTAAATTTCATTCTTTGCATGATTTCAGTAATTTTAATGAATGAATATAGGATATACAATTTTAGCAACATTGAAGTGCTCTTGGATCCTTTTTGCAAAGCGTAGTGTCTGAAAAGTCAAACAGGAAGGACAAATCGAAGGTGCAAGTCGGCAATCACATATCTCATTTGCGGTGTCTGAAAATCTCTGCCTCTATGTTATTTTTTTAAAGGAGAACAAATTGATAACATTCCTTGATGTTTTTGCAGAATTTTCTTCGCGCAGAGAAGAAAAATCATGGCAATTTTGAAGAATTGCCGTTGAGTAGTTTTCCGTCTAAAAAATAAAGTATGACAGGAAGTCTGCGACGTCGCAAACCGAGTTATGTGATTGCTGACTTGCACCGTCGAAATTTATTTTTGCAAAGGTAAATATTTCTTTTTCTGCCGAAAAATATGCTTGATTGGGTTCCTCCTGGGAGGAGACGAAGGGGGCGCCCGGTGAAAGGCTGGCGACAGGGGGTTATATGGATGAGATGAGGGAGTGCCAACTCCCTGATGACTTGTGGGAGGACCGAGTTTTGTGGCGGTTAGGCGTCGCAGAGCGCCAGAGAGCGCTGTGAGAGCGCCTCATATGTATGGTTGGTTGGTTGATACGTTTATTTGGCGCTTTTAACAATTGAGCCATTTACACCTTAGAGGAGAGATCAAAATAATTTAAAAATTTTATGTATGTATGTATGTATGTATTTATGTATGGTTGGTTGGTAGATACGTTTATTTGGTGCTTTTAACGGTTGAGCCATTAACACCTTAGAGGAGAGATCAAAATGGTGTAGTACAGAATTAAACATTTAAAAAGTAGGGGTCACTTTTATGTATGTATGTATTTATGTATGTATGTAAATATTTCTTAGAGATAAATTAAGCAACGTTCAAATGTTCAAATGACGTAATCTCGCGGCATGGCATTGTTTAGAATTAGAGGACTCGATAAGGGGAATAATGACGCTCTAAAACAAAACAAACGCGGCTTAATCACCTCGCTCTTCGAGAGGATTTCGACTGGCCTCTGGTCCTTAATTCGGGCCCTCAACTCCTGAGAGGCTGAGATTAAGGAGGGGAGAGGGCCCCTTCTTCCACCTCCAGGTCCAAGGGGAACTCTGAACTTTCCTTAAGACATGTACATAAAGTAATTTTTTCTCGTATCGTAAAATTTCAAAGGAGAGCGTCAATTGAACACATCTTAAATTTCCAAAATTTGAAAGATGGGTCCACGTCATCCATCGGGCGGGTGTCTAATCAGTGTTTGGTTGAAGGCAATTTTTCCTCCTCTCTATAATTTCCGAAATGTGTCGAACCTTTCAAGGAAAAATTCATCGTAGGAAAGAAATTGTCCTCCTCATCTTAAATCATTTAGAAGTAATTCAATATGACATTTTACTCGGAAAGATTTCAGTTTTGTTGTGGGCAGTAAATTTAAATCAAATGTAATGGAAGAAACGTAATTTTTCAATTTGAAGGTTAAATTTTTGAAATTTGTCACTTGTTCACGCCGAATAAGAAATTTTTACGAAGGAAAGAATATTGCGGATTTGATTTTGGACCCTGAGTAGTATATGAAGAAATTAAGGTTATGATATTGATAATAAGATTAATTCCGAAATAGAATTTATTGAGTTTTACAGCACTGAGACGAACACGGCGTTTAGCTCCAGAGAAGGATCTGAACTCACTCGAGTCAATATGAGGGGCCACGCAGCCGCAGCTGCGTGGGAAGCGCACCCGCACAGCCCAAAAAGTCGTAAAATAATCTCAAGGGCACAAGTGCGGTAGGGATGGTCCCTGTGCTGCGTTGTCAGATTAATTATGGCATATGTCCAACAATATATAGTGGTCAATTTGAAAGAGGGCTCCCAGAATTTCAAGTTCAAACGGAGAAAGCAGTTTCCAGAGCTACCGAAAGGACCGGAAAAATCTAGGATTTTTCTGTCTCTCACATCGACAAAAAATGCGACCATGACAAAAAAAGCACAACTTGTAGAATTATGCACGCTGAATCCAACTGAAAATCGACTGTATTTTGAAATTTTCCCCAAATCATGCGAGCTTGGTACAAGAAATGAAGAGTAAATGCAATTTTCATTACGGCACAAAAAATTACAAAAAAAGAGAAAATTCTGCGAAAATATTCTATTTAAAATGTATGTTCTTTCCCAATATTTTGGAGCTTTTCGGCATTGGCATTCGCAAATGGACCGCGTGTAGCAGACAGGAACCAAGCCATAACAGCTATTGCCAAATTTAGCTGGGCAATTCAATATATCACAAGAGAAAGTTTGTGCGGATTCCCATGAAAATTTTGAGAAAAGTTATTTGTGCTATGCAGAAAATTCTCTGAAATTTGCGCATAAATCTGCACAACCGTTTTCATATAAAAAATTAAACTGGCTTGGTTCCTTTTTGCTTAACGCCGTCCAAATGATCGTTAATCAGCAAAATATGTTCTATATTTTTACTGATTTTATTATGCTTTGATTTAAATATTTGCTTTTTTGTAACTCCCTTATTTTAAATTGGTTTGAAGAGACTCGCTAAAGTCTTGAGCATGCTTTCTCTTTTTAATTCAATAATGTCTAAGAAATTATATTTTGTTTGATTTTCAATCCGACAATTGACTGTCACTCTCGTTAAATTGATCGATTCGATATAGTCTCGAATTTAGCAAAATGCCAAAGTCCCTTGATACGAGTCCTCAACACTGGAAGAAAAAAATATACTATATGTAGATTTTACTATACTCTGACACAGCGATACGTATATGTTAATAAAAACTAGACTCTGGGGTATTATTTATCATATTATGGAAAGTACCACCAAATTTCTGGTGAATACTACCATAATTCTGGTATTTTCACTGAGTAATATCACTGTATAAAAAATCAACTAGACTCATAGTAGATGTTACCATACTTTTTTTTTCAGTGAAGCCCAGACGAAAACTCGCAATTAGATTTGTTTACATGAATCAAAATAAACTCCCACGACGAAAGTTGGTCTCTCAATTTTTCTGACGTTTCAAGTTCTTTGAATGTTCCTCCCTTTTTTTTCGGGTTCCACCGACCTTTTTACCCCCTTTCAAAATTTCTGAGCATTTGAGCATCCTTGCGCCCACCGCGCCACGAGGTGCAGTAGGACTCATTGATGGATCCAGCACAGCGGGTCGCGTGCTTTTCGATATATCGATTGATCCGTCCCTTAAAATTATGGAAAAGGATCGATTAACAAGGTGTTTGCAGCGAACACTTTAATAATCGATTCTTAAACATAGCCTCAAATGGAGGAATATCGATATTCCATCATTCAAGCCTTGCCAATTATCCAGCAAGTTGGTAACATTGTTTTTTGTC